GACAAAGTCTTGCTCTGTCGCCCAGGCTAAAGTGCAGTAGCATGATCGTGGCTCACAGCAACCTCCACCTCCAAAGTTCAAGCAATTCTCCTGGCTCAGCCTCCCAAGTAGCTGGGATTACAGGTACACGCCACCACACCCAGCTAATTTTTGTATTTTTAGTAGAGACGGGGTTTTGCCATGTTGGCCAGGCTGGTCTTGAACTCCTGACTTCAGATGATCCTCCCACCTCGGCCTCCCAAAGTGCTGAGATTACAGTGTGAGCTACTGCACCTAACCTAAAACATTTTTTTTTTTGAGGCAAAGTCTCACTCTATCACTGAGGCTAGAATTCAGTGGCACAATCACACCTCACTGCAGCCTTGACTTCCTAGGTTCAAGTGATCCTCCCACCTCAGCTCCCTGAGTGGCTGGGACTACAAGATGCATGCCACCATGCCTGGATAATTTTTAAAAATTTTTGTAGAGATAGTATCTCACTATGTTGCCCAGGCTGGTCTCAAACTCTAAGGTTCAAGCAATCCTCCTGAGTTGGCCTCAAAATGTTGGGATTACAGGCATGAGCCATTGTGCCTGGCCAGGATAAAAATATTAAAACAATATATGAAACTACAGTAAAAATTTTATATCATAAGGATAAATACAACCTTGCCAGGAAGGTAATTAACAAAAATAAAAGAAAAAATAATAATAAATACAACTTTGTGGTGGGGAAGCAGGAATAAAGAGATAATGAAATTAAGAGGTGAGTAAAAAGAGTCTCCTTGATCATATAGGATGGCGAGAATAGACTGACCCTATTCACATTATTATGGAAGATAGGGAAGGTGGTTAACAATATTTCATCTGTTTCTTATTTCAATGTTTAGAAGGTACATCTGCCCCTAAATAGCCTACAGTGCACAGTCTCTTTGGAAGGAGAGACTGCAAAGTAACAGTGACTTTGGGAGGGGACTCTGGTAGACTGAATGATGCCACCTTCCAAAATGTCCATTTCCTAATCCTTGGAACCTGTGAATGTCACTTTATCTGGCAAAGACTTTGCAGATAGGTTTAAATGATTTGAGATGGGGAAATTACCTAGATTGTATAGGTGGGCCCTAAGAGCATTCACAAGTGTCCTTATAAGAGGGAGGCAGGATGGGCACATTGACTCATGCCTATAATTCCAGCACTTTGGGAGGCCAAAGCAGGATGATCACTTGAGGCCAGGAGTTCAAGACCAGCCTGGGCAACATCGTGGGATCTTGTTTCTACAAAAAAATTTTTTAAATCAGCCAGTTGTGGTGACATGCACCTGTAGTCCTAGCAACTTGGGAGGCTGAGGCAGGTGGGAGGATCACTGGAGCCCAGCAGTTCCAGGCTGCAGTGAGCTATGATTGCACCACTGCAGTCCAGCCTAGGCAACACAGCGAGATCCCATCTCTTTAAAAAAAAAAAAAAAAAAAAAAAAAAGGAGGCATATTTGACGAAGAGGAGGAGTCACAGAGGTAGAGATTATAGTGATACAGCAATAAACCAAGTAATAAACCAATATCAGCAGCCACCAGAAGCTGGAAGAGGCAAAGAATGAATTCTCCCCTAGAGCTTTTGGAGGGAACACGACCCTGCCAACACCTTGATTTTGGCCCAGTAATACTGATTTTGGACTTCTGGCCTCCAGAACTATGAGAGAACAAATTTCTGTTGGTTTAAGCCACTAAAGTTGTGATAATTTGTTACAGCAGCCACAGGAAACTAATATAGGGACTAATCCAGCATTTCTAAAAATTGGAAATATTTGGCCCAACCCATTTAACTCCAGTCTTACAGAAAAGAAGCTGTCTGTGATTCTGAGGAAAAGGAACAACTAAATAGAAAACACTACACAAGATTCATTTGTTCAACTTAGTGAAATAGCAGGGCAAAATCTCCAATCATGCAGCCATATTGTAACATAAAAGGATAGCAACACTTCCAAAACAACAGGTTTGAAGAGGGAAATGTAGCAGTTACAGAGCAAGGCAAGTGAGTTACTCGATCCTGCCTGTTTAAAGATTGCCAGATGTCAAACATGAGAAAGAGACTATATGCCATAGAAAAAAGGGGGCAAAGGAAATGGCAATGCAGAACAATACGTATCATTTGCAGTTTCCAAAGCATTTCCAAATGCACAATAATAGCAACCACACTAAGTACCACGTGCTACATGCTTTATATTCGTTGTCTCAGTTAATCCACACAAAACTATCAGGATAAGTATTATAATACCCATTTTACAAAAAGTAAGCAAGTTAAGGAACAGGCCAGAAGTGGCAGAACCAGGATTTAGAAACAATGTTTGGCTCCAAAGTCAACCCTCTTTGTATTGGGCTGGCCTGCTTTATTACACCATTAATCTTTATACATGCTCTGTAGTATGAACTGTGAGCTCCATCAAGATAGGGACTAAATATCTGCCTTGTCCACCACTGCATCTGGTGATCAATAAATACTTGTTAAATGAATGAAGAGAACAGATGAGGCATAGAGAGATTAAGCAACTTCTCCAAGATCATACGGCCAACTTTTTAACAGGGCTAGGTCCTCTGATTACAAATCCCATGCACTACAAACTTATCAAGATCCTACAGAATACTGAGCTATGTGTGTATCTTGGGTAAGTGGGTGAGGGAGGCAGATAAAGGACAGGAAAGTTTTTAAAAATACATACATACATACATACATACTGATATTCCACATGAGTGAAGGTAGATCTAAAGACTGGCTGGAAAAGGTGAATTTGGAGCATTCAGGAAGAAGATGAAGGATGTTAATTGAAGATGATGCGGTAAAGCATTGCTGGATGAGGGAATGAATTGTCTAGGCAGAGGCTAAAGTAAATTGTATTCAGGGGAATACATCCATTCCCCCAAATACCATGCCATCAGTCACAAGGGTATGTGAGTACATGCCAGTGGCAGCTTTGTCTAAGAATTGAAGCAGAATAAGTGATTCCATGTGGTAAAGGACTTCTGAGCCAAATGGGCAGAGATTCTGCTTGCCTGAAGCTGAACTATCTGCCAGATTCTCCTAAAGTACTGGCTGGACACCCAGACTGGAAATGAGAAACTCAAGAATAATGAGAAAGACTGCGATGGGAGGTGGGGAGATAGGAAAGAAAATCACCACAGAGTCTGAAGCCTGACTAATTGCCCTTTGTCAGCACAATCCCCTTGTTCCCTCATCCTTGCTAAGGAAATGAAAGTTTTTATAGGATGCCCAGTTTAGGAGCCAAAGCAGAGGCTCTCCAGGTAACACAGACAAGAAAAAGGGTGTACTCCTCTACAATTTTAATAAATGCCTATAAGTTTCCAAGAGGAAGGCTTCAGATTTAGTGTGACCACTCTAGGCTACTCCTGTGCCCAGAGGCAAAGACCTTCCCTTGATCTTGACTTAGAGACTTGAAGCAGCAGGATAGTAGCTAATAGCAGTTCCATCACATAGCCTTGTTAAATCTTGGGATTACATTGGGAAAATAATATGTCCTTATGAGTTTCGGATTCATCCATTTGTATCCCCAGCACCTAGCAGAGTTCCTGTCTTATAACAGGAGTTCAAATTGTATGAAGAACAAAGGGAAATTGAAGATAAATGAATCATAGGCACATATAGCAAAATGGCTCTAAAAATCTCTTTTCACAGGAATTTTTGGGTTTACATTATCAGGATTTAAGAGTGGGAAAAAGTGAAGCATGTTCTACTTGAGGAACTATGAACCAACACATTTGAGATAATAATCATTTTTAGGTTACATGTCATTTGCAATGTCTCAGTTAATCCATATTGTAATCCTTGAAGAAACTGAAGCTCAGTGAGATTAAGTCCCTTTCCCAAAGATTTGGCTGGTAAGTGACAAAGATCTCCAAACCCTGTGTGTGCTCTTTTCACTAAACTTTCTTAAAAAAAGAAAATCTACAGAAAAGCCCTGTAACTTTTCTCTGCATTATTGTTAAACCAGAAAGTTAAAAATATAGTCACTTCCAGGTCAAGCAGGACCTGGCCAAGGAGACAGAAGGGATGTGTTGTAAATTCCAGGCTTAAATTCTGTATTCCACACCCTTCACTATATATTCCTTATTACTTACACTATAAATCTGGAACTCAAATTCAGATAGGAAACTACACTAGTTAAACAAAAACAACAAAGAAAACCCTCACATCCCTCTTTAAAGAAATTAGACATCTTTAAGACGAAGTTTTCTAACTGAAATAGAGTTTCTAACCTGGCTCATTTCCACAGAATTTAACATTGAAAGAGCCAAGGCCTGGGATTTATCCTCAGTTCCTGGGCAAGGGCCAGGAAAACAGAGCCAGACAGAAAGGCTGGAGCTGTGAGTCTCCATACTAAACAAGATACCAAAGTAAGGTGCTAAGCCATAGGAAGCTGGTGTGAGCTCAGTGGTACAGGTCCGGATTTAAATGCACAATTACTATAAGTGACTTGTGAAGGCACTACCTAGTTCCCCAGTAAATCTGAAGTTGCACTGAAATTTCAGAGTGAAGGTAAGTAAAGAATTTAAAAGTCAAGGTTAAGGAGCTGGAGCAAATTAACAGGGGAGTCCAGAATTGCAGAGATCACAGAGGAAAGATTGAGAGGGTGTGGATGAGAAATTGGATCTGAAATAAAAGACAGGATCTCACACAATGGGGACTGGTTCTCAAAGGCAGAGAGATGTTAAGGTATTAAGCTGGAGGAGGAATTCCATTTCTAAAGGAGAAAAGCTTAGGAAGAAAAGAGGATTGTATCTGAAAAAGGGTCCCTGGAGAATATATTAATAACTCAGTAAAGGGAAGGAGAGGTAGGAGGCTTAAACGTGTGTATGAGTGTGTGCGTCTGTGCGTATGCGTAGCCCAGAAGGAAACTCCCCAAAAGGAAATGCAAGTGAGGGCTCCACGCCAGGAAAAGCGATCCGGAGGACTGTGGGAGCAAGGCTCCCTTTCAGAGGGTGTCGCACAGGAGGCCAGACCCGCAGACTCACCTCGGCCATAGCCCTGCGTGTGCTTGGCGAAGCTCCTCACTACGGCCTCCACGGCCTCTCGCAGCACTGCCGGGCTGCCGGCGGCGCCGGGGGGCAGGGGCAGTCCTGGGGCCCCAGACATGAGCAGCGGCGGCGGGGGCGGTGCGGGAGGCGGCGGGGCAGGCGGGGGGCCCGCAGGGGGTGTGGCGGCTGCAGCCGCAGCCCCAGTCACTCCGGGCCGCAGTGCTCGGAGAGTGCCCCTCCCGCTGGTGCCCACACCAGGCTGCAGCCGCTGCGCTCGCATCGTCTCCATCCCGGCCGCCAATGGAGTAGCGCCCCGGAGCCTGCCAGCCTGCCGAGCTAACGGTCCCAACCACCCCAGTCAGCTAGCGCCTGGGGACTGAGGGCGGCGCCAGCGCCGAACCTTCAGTCAAGTGGGGGCGGGGACGAGCTAGGTCCCATGCCAATCACCAGTGATGGGGCGGGAGCTAGAGGGCTACTACTCCGCCATAGGCAAATTGTTGAGGAGGGTGGAGATTCTGAGAACCAATTGCAAAGAGAAAAAGCGCATCCTCTGAAAGGCAGACGCGTAGCTTGGGCGCGTCTTTGGGAGTCCTGTGGCAAGCACTAGAAAGCGGGCCAGAATCCTGGGGCGGGGCTTGAAGAAAAAAATGGGCCTAGATGCAAGACTGGGGAGAATTGCAGACAGAGTAGAGATCATTTTGTCCTACCATTTCATTTTACAGATTGTAGGTGAGGAAATTGTGGCTCAGAGAAGTAATTTGACTTGTCCAACATCACATGCAATTGGTGGTGGAGCTAAGGCAAGAAAGATACTGACATTTAATGAACATAAACTATGCAATGTACTGTAATGCATGTCTTCTTTACAATCACAATCACTAGATTTTATTATTTTAGGGATAAGGAAACAGATGCTGAGGGAGGCTAGATAAATTGCCCAAAATTAAATAGCTAAGAGATGGCAAAGTGGAATTCAGAGTTTAAGCATAGGTGTTCTGATTCCCAATATTTTTTATCTTTTTACTATGCCACATTGTTGGGTAAATTTCTGATTTCACTTATTCTAAGTAGGGGAAGGGAATAAGAGAGAGTGGGATGGGCAAGTCTTTTTGCCTTCCATTAGAGTGAGAAAGAGTTAGGATACATGCAGAAAATTAGAAAACTGAGAAGTCCAGTTGGGGGAATTAAGAAAATTACCCTTGTTGGTATAACATGTCAGACTTGGTTCCTCTGATTACTTTGCACACACACACACACTTGCACACATGCACACACACACACTCTACATACCCTTTATCATGTGGTCACTGGGCCATTTTTACTTAGGTGAGATTATATTAACTGCTTCCCACCATCTCTCCTACAGTGGCTCAGAAATCAAAGATGGGGAAATAGAGGCCAGAGTAGAAGAAAATAGAAGAAACACACTTGGTGAAATGAAAATTAGACCCTGACTAAAAACTGTGAGTGGTCAAGAAATAGGAAGTTTGAAAAAGAGACAGTTAATCTACTGGGATATATCTGCTGATGATGGAGGGAGGAACTCTTTGTAGGAATCTTTATTCAAGGTTGGACATAGAGGAAACTGGAGGAAATGAAATCCTGTCGAATGCCTTAAAACCTTTAGGACACAGGACACTTGCCTTTTCTCTATAGAAAAGTTGGTTTCTTGGAAAGAAGGTGGCTGGAACAGCTAAGTATCCCTTGGATAATTATAGCTATAAGTTAGTATTACCCTCCCTCCCCATTCCTCATTCCCCATACCCACACCTCCAGGCAGAAGTGACAAAACAGAGACTTCTGAACACATTTATTTGATATGTCAAGTGGAGAGAGGAGTGATTTAGGGTTTCTCCCCACTTCTACCCGTGGGGGTGTTCATAAGCTCAGACAGACAGAAGAGCAGTTTAGAGCCCATGACCCACCCCCTGGGAAAATGAGACAATCAGTTGTAGTTGTTGGAGGAACAGGGTGGGAACAAAAAGCAGGAAGTTGAGAAGTGAAGTTGAGAGCAGGAAAGACAGCAGCAGAACATAGGCTGGGGGTTGCTGCAGGAACCCCCAAGAAGAGTGAAAAAGATATCCTGAAAAGTGGTTGGGGTTGGAAGCGGGGTGTGAATAAGGATCCAGGCCTGGAGAAAGAAGCAAGACCTGGAGAATGGGCTGTGATGTTCATGGAGAGAGTAGAGTATGCAAAATCATGATAGGCTGTGTTGCAGGGCATACATGGAAAGCAAGGGATTGCTTCTGCAGGAGGGCAAAGACATGGGAGACTGCCCATAAGTAAGGGTTCCCTACTGCTTCTGCTTCTGAATAAATGCAAGAGAGTTTGGGACCCTAGCCCTGTTTATTGATGTGCTGTGCCCGCAGGTACACAAGTAATCCCATATGCACGTGAAATGACCAGGGCATGAATACATGTGTCTATATACCCAGTAAATAGAGTACTTATTCTTTCTTGCTAATAAGAGTACTGTGCTTATGGACACATGTTTAACCATGTGTGGGTGCACTGTGCACCCATGAGCACATGCAAGAGATCCCTATGTTCGTGGTGTGTGTGTGAGCTGGTTCTCCCACCTATCCCATTAAGGTCCTAATCCCCACCCTCCTTGGCTCCTCTCACTTCTCTCAGCGCCCTGGCTCCCCAGGCCCACCTAGACTCTGGAAGCCCCCTAGCAGGCGGATCTGCTCAGTCTGCATGGAGTGGCGTCTCACCAATTTGCGCTTGGTCCTGGGGGAGCCTGGCGCCCCGGCATAAGGAGGGGCAGGCAACGAAGGCGCCCGACCTCCGGGTTGAGGGCGAATGTCAGGGATGGGAGGGTGGGGACTGACGTTGAGAGGGGGCAGGAAACCCGGCCGCGTTTGCGAGATGTGGTCCAGGAGCAACGTCCCCGAGCCCCTCCGCTCCAGCAGCCCCGGACTCCGCCTCCGTCCGCTTAGCGGAGATACTGCCCCTGGCAGACTCTCCTGGGACTGGCGCGGAGAGGGAGCGGAGCCGGCTGGAGGGAGGGTCAACGGGGAGGCGCTGTATCGGCGGCGCTCCAGGGACAGGCGGCTGGACTCAGGCGAGTCAGGGCAAAGGTGTCCGGGGGTGTCGAGCTCCACTGGCTCCATGCGGCTCAGTTTCTGCCTCAGCCCTGAAGGGGGACCAGACTCCTGAGCTTCTGGTGCTGTGTTTCGGCGAGAGAGAGGACCCCCGCTAGTCACTTTCTCCGCCCATGGGGGCGGGTCCTCAGGGCCTTCGGTGCTGTGACGTCGGGAAAGACGGGGTCGACCGGTCAGGGTCAGGCCATTGAATTCGGCAGTCAAGCGCTCGATCCCCGGTCTTCCTTCGGTGGGTGGGACTGGTTGAGGAGGGGCCACTAGGCCCCAGGGCTCGGAGTTGAGCCTTTTGAGTGGTTTGGGGGGGTGGCGTGGTGGTTTGGGGAGCGGCTCGGAAGGGGATGGGTCATCGGGGGGCTTAGGAAGAGGAAATTCAAATACGTCCCGCTTCTCCTCTTCTTCCTGGGCGCGAGGGGATAACATCCCACGCCCTCCTCCTCCTGCGGTCTGCAGTTGGATTTCCGAAGGCGACGTGCAGATCCCCGGGCTAGGAGGAGCGGGAGCAGGGTCCTCCACCCCTGGGGATGGTGGAGAATTGAGATACTGCCGGGTCTTCTTGGTGCCCGAGGGCGAGGTATCGGTGGTGATGATGATGACCTCCGTGCCCTTGGCCTTGCAGGCGTCCAGCAGTGTGGCAAGGGTCTCGCGGTCCCCGCGGTCCAGGGCGTGGACAAGAGCCGAGGCGCCCGCGTGATCTCGGACTGAGGGGTCTGCGCCGTGGGCAAGGAGCAGCGAGGCCACCGCGGCGCCCCCACCCCCGGCGCAAGCGTGCATGAGCGCCGTGCGCCCTAAGCGGTCTGCGATGTTGGGGTCCGCGCCTTGCTCCAGGAGGTAGCGTACCATGCGTGCCTTGTTCTGGGGGTCGTCGTAGCGAGCCCGACAGGCTGCCATTAGCGCAGTCTCCCCCTGCGCATCACCCTCATTCACGTAGGCGCCTCCCTCCAGAAGCAAACGGGCCAAGCGTAGCTTACCCTGACCCACCGCCCGAAGAAGAGCGTGGCCCTCGGTGTGCAACATAGCTGCGGCTGGGGTGAGGGCACAGATGGAGCCGGGACTGAGACCTGCCGAGGACGGCTAGGGGTAGGGGGTAGGGGGTGGGGGGTGGCTGGCAGAGGCCTGAGGTCTCAGTGACGAAGCCGATCCCTGCAAGAGAGACATCTTATTGATAGATTCGGCAGGGAAACTGAGGCACCGATGCAGGAACCCAGCGTGGGGTGGGGGAGATCTTCACGGCATACAGTCCTTCCTCTAACTCATGCCTTTGAGCCGGCCCTTCCCCCGCAGCGCATGCCTGAGGAGGTGGGAAGGGTGCACCCGCACTGAAGGACTAGCGCGCGTGCAAATGCGTTCGTGCACGCGCAGGGATGTCCGCACCCCCACCCTCACCCCATGGCTTATCAGACCTTTCCTCTATCCCCCTTTTCTTATCCACACTTGGGATCCCCCTTTCTAGGATGCTGAACGCCACCCACCCACATACATGCACCCTACAGCCACACATGTATTCTCATTCCTAACCTCTTTTAGCTTGCCACAACCCCAAAAATTGAGTGGGGGGAGGGAAGCAGACTGCATTTGAGACCTAAAACGGGTGGAGGGAGAACTGGGGGGTTCTTTTGCCCCTGCGATGTTCCCCATCACTCCTTGCTCTTTCCCCTCCCAGGCTGTGCGCCCAGATAGATACCTGAATGTCCGCAGAATCTCCTCCTGGCCAAGATTGGGGCCGTGGCCACGGGGCAGCCGAGGTGGCGGAGCCAGGTTCCTGGGGGCCCGCATGGTGTGGAGGGGGGGCACCCGGATTCCCTTGGTGTCAGTATCTGCGCCCCAGCGCCGGATCGTCGTCCCTCCTCCCGGAGCGCCCCGGGCACAGCGCCGGCTCGGGAGGAGAGAAGCTGGGGGGGGGGAGGGGGGGCGGAGCTCTGCTGTGCTATTTATAGCCTAGTCTCTGCGGGTGGGGGCGTCGGGCACCAAACTGCTCCCCCACTCATGCACACATAAACCCTCAAAAACCTAGAGGCTCCAATCCTGACTTCCTTTTCTTAGCCGACCTCCCCTCAGCCCCAACAAACCTAAGTGTTCCTTAGGGGACTCCTCCGCGACCCAGACAGGGACCATCATCATCCAGATTCTTCGCTGAGCTTTAGCAGATCCCCATTCTCTGCACTTGGTGTGTTTATGCGCTCCTGTGCGCCAGACCTGACCTACCACGCACGGCACATGGCACACTGTGCAAGAAAGGTGTAGACAGGCTTTTTGGATCCACAGCCGGTGTCCATACTGTGCAAAGAGAGGCAAGAGATGTGGCTTTCTTCCTGTAGTTTAATTGTGAAGGAGACACGGTCTAGCCTGGAGTCAGACACAGATACACCCCCGCCCCATCTCTCAAAAACGGAACACCCATCGCAGAGAAACTCGGACCTCAGCTCCCTTATATAGACCTAGACAAATATGAGGAAGGTGGATATGGGGGCACTTTTAGACAGGGCAAGGGACATTCCCAGGTGCCTCCACCCCGTATTATTGTGGGCAGGGAGATAGGAAAGTGGCAGGAAGAAGAGCGAACCTGGTAATACACTCTGTCACATTGCACCTCTTTAATCTCAGTCTTGCTTAGTCGTCTTATTTTTTCCATCTTGCTTGAAGATCTCTGTCTGAAATGCTCCTTATAGCTTCTCTCTTCCTATCTGTCTATTGGTCTCTCACACTGTCTCTGCCTCTCCTTGCCACCTGCCCTGTCTCCATGGTTACCATAGCTTCCATCCACATATTTTAGGAATGAGTTTGTGTCCAGCTGGAAGGCACCAAGGAAAGTGGGAGAAGAAGAAAAATCCTAAGGTTTTAAAAAGTTCACTCAGGGTCCTGAGCTAATTCGGAGGCTGGAGGCCCCCCAGATGCAAGATACTGAAAATAATGTTCCCAGGTATGGGAGAGAGAGAAAGATTTGAGGGAAGCTACCCATTTTTACTAGTTATTTCTTGGACACGTGTCAACTATGTGCCATGTGCTTTACATACACTATTTTCAATCCTCACAACTCTGTAAGATAGGAACTATCATCTTCTTGTTACAGATGAGGAAACAGACTTCATAAGTTTAAGCAAGTTCTCCAAAGTTTCACAGCTATATTTCTGTTCTATGGCAAAGACTGGGCGCTTGCCGCTACACCTACAGCCTCCCAGTTTACAGGTCATTTTCTCTTACATCTGGGATATTCTTCTTGACTAACTCCTAGACTTCATCTCCATTCTGAACCCTTTCTCCCTTGTTTCTGTTTTCTGCGAAAATAGAACTCCTCCTTCCACGCTGCTCGCCTTCCCAAGGAGCGCGCAGGAAGTGGAAAGTAGTGGAAAATGCAGAAAAAGCTGGGCTTCTGCCCTGTCTCCCCAACTCTGGTACTCTGATCCCAGATCCTTCCTTTCTCAAACCTTCTGCCCACCTTCTCACAGACACGGCAGCAACCCACAGAAAAACATTTTTAGAAAAGAAGTATCCATTGGTGATGCTGGAGAGAGGCAGTGTATGATTGAAAGGAAGGCTGGAGTAATGGAGAGACCAAGCTGTGAAGCTAGAGTCACAAAGAGACTGATCCCTAAAGAGCGGCTTTCACAGGGGTTCATTTCTCCGTAGGCCCTCTCCTCTTTTGGCCTTTCTGTAGGGGCTCCCTCAACACGGTCCCTCGATGAGATACGAGTGTCACGTTCCCTTGGTGAACTCTTGCCGGCCAGTGGCTCCTTCCATCTGGAGTGAGACCGGAAATAAGTGACCCTAGATGATTCTGCAACCCCCATCTCCCTCTGCGACCCGCTTCGCAAGCTTCGGTTCCGGGCTTACTCGCTCCCTCCCTCCTTCTCTTCCTAGGCTTCAAGAGGGCGGACTTCCCTCCTCAGCTTCTCCTGCATTGGCCGAGAAAACTCACCAATAGGGAGCTCCGGGAGGCGGGCCTAGAACGCCACCGACTTGAGGAAGCCCAGTACATTTCAAGTTGGCCGCGGCGTGGGCTCCGCGTGGGGGAGGGACAGCAGGTAAGGCTCCGACCTGGTGGCTCTGACCTGGTTCGGTCCCACACTTGCCGAACTTGTTCATCCCGGCCAGGCTGCGAAATAGATAACGCTTTCCGTCAGGTTGTTGGATCAGCCCCCTTCTGGCTCCCTACCTTTTCTCCCCTGGGCCCCCATTTCTGTATTGATTGTATACTAGAGAATGGTAGTTTTCTGTCGCGCACGGGGAGAGACATTAAAGCAGAAAACGAGACAGCCTCTTGTACCTCTCTTTGCTATAGCATCAACTTCTTCCCAATCTATTAATATTATCCCAAGAGCCTGACAAACTCCTGTTATCTATGAAGACTAGCTGAAATGCTACCTGTAGTTTTCCTGGGCTGCCTTTCTTGCAAAATGAATTGTTCCCCCGTCTGACGATAGCATTTTGTGTATACCTTTATTGGGACACTTAGTGCACTCTCTCTCTTTAATGACTCTATGCCTTTTAGAATAGAAGGTTTTGTAGGATAGGTGCTAGTAGTTAATATATAGTGCCCAATAAACGTTAGTTAAATAGAATTGATTTTTGGCAACTAGCACTCTTTTTGGGGAGGCAGAATTTAAATTCCTAACATAAAATAAAAATAAAAATAAAAACTAACATAACTAGAGAACAATAAAAGACAATACAGTATGTAATTAAGAGCCATTAAATTAGTGGTTCATAATATTAGTGTTTCATAATTGTTTCTGCAATCTAGAGAAGGAAGAAAGCAGGGAGAACTGGAATGGTGAGGGGAGGCTTTATGGATCACAAGGTCTCAAGTTTGGAAAGGCCCATAGAAATAATGTATTTATTCATTCATTCAACAAATATTTATTGAGCACCTACTATATGTGAGACACAATGCTAAATCATGCTGATCACAGGGAATCCTCTACTAGAGCCATGCATCCTTCTTACAAACCCTATTTAGTAAATTGTTGCCCAGCTTCTATGTAAACATCTTTAGTAAGGAAACTCTCTTGTTTCTCTTGTAGGTCATTCCATGTTTTGATATCTGTTCTTTAGTCAATATCCAATAAATATTCTAAATAAGAACTATATAGCTAAAGGAAATGCATTCCACACTTCCACTGTAAACAGGGGAAATCTGGCTGGGAGCGGTGGCTCACGCCTGTAATCCCAGCACTTTGGGAGGCTGAGGCGGGCGGATCACCTGAGGTCGGGAGTTGGAGACCAGCCTGACCAACATGGAGAAACTCCGTCTGTACTAAAAATACAAAAATTAGCTGGGCGTGTTGGCGAATGGCTGTAATCCCAGCTACTGGGGAGGCTGAGGCAGGAGAATCATTTGAACCCAGGAGGCAGAGGTTGCAGTGAGCTGAGATCGCACCATTGCACTCCAGCCTGGGCAACAAGAGCAAAACTCCGTTTCAAAAAAAAAAAAGACGGAAATCTGTCCTTTTACAGTGGAATTGGTAGCATTCTTAAAAGCAAGCCATTTCTAGCTGGGCGTGGTGACTCATGCCTGTAATTCCAGCACTTTGGGAGGCTGAGGTGGGCAGATCACTTTAGCCCAGGAGTTCAAGACCAGCCTAGGCAACAACAAAACCCTGTCTCTACAAAAACTACCAAAAATAAAGAAAAAAATAGCCAAGCATTGTGGCTCAGGCCTGTAGTTCCAGCTGCTCAGGAGGCTGAGGTGGGGGGTTGCTTCAGCTGGGGAAGTCGAGACTGCAGTGAGCCAAGATTGCCACTGCACTTCAGCCTAAGCGACAGAACAAGAACCTGTCTCAAAAAAAAAAAAAAAAAAAAAAAAGAGGCCGGGTGTGATGGCTTACACCTGTAATCCCAGCTCTTTGGGAGGCTGAGGCAGGTGGATCACGAGGTCAGGAGTTTGAGACCAGCCTGGTCAACATGGCAAAACCCCGTCTCTACTAAAAATACAAAAATTAGCCAAGCGTGATGGTGGGTGCCTGTAATCCCAGCTACTCGGGAGGCTGAGGCAGGAGAATTGCCTGAACCCGTAAGGTGGAGGCTGTGGTGAGCCGAAATCACACCACTGCACTCCAGGCTGGGTGACAGAGCAAGACTCTGTCCCAAAAAAAAAAAAAAAAAAAAAAGGTACACAACTCTCTGCACTAAAAAAATTTCCAAAAAACCTCATCCCTCAAATTAACCATTGTTAATTTTTGGTACATATCTTTCTTTAACAGCTTTTTAATTCATATGTGTGTATGTATTTCTGACAGATTACCTTCTACATATATTTAATATTTTTTTCACCAACTAATCTCTTGTGAATTTTGAATTGCTACTTGATTTTTGTTTTAGCTTTTTGTTTTGAGACAGGGTCTCTCTCTGTCACCCAGGGTGAGTGCAGTGGCATGATCATGGCTCACTGAATCCTCTATCTCCTGGGCTGAAGCGATCCTTCTACCTCAGTCTCCCAGGTACCTGAGACTATTTTTCGTAGTCTATTTTTTTATTTTTTGTAGAGATGGGGTCTCACTGTGTTGCCCAGGTTGGACTCAAACTCCTGGACTTAAGTAGTCATCCCATCTCAGCCTCCCAGAGTGCTGGGATTGCACACAGGTGTGAACCACCACACCCACCCTCGAGGTTTTTTTTTGTTTTTGTTTTAATTAATAGATTATATATTTTAGAATAGTTTCAGACTTACAGAAAAATTTAGCAGATAGTGCCAAGAGTTCCCATTTGTCCCAGTGCACAGTTTCCCCTATTAACATTGTAGATTGGCCGACCATGGTGGCTACCGCCTGTAATCCAGCACTTGGGGGAGGGGCTGAGGGGGGGGGGGAGTGAGGGGGGGGGGGGGGGGGGGGGGGGGGGGGGGGGGGGGGGGGGGGGGGGAGGCCGGAAAAAAAAAAAAAAAAAAAAAAAAAAAAAAAATTGTAGATTGGCCGACCATGGTGGCTACCGCCTGTAATCCCAGCACTTTGGGAGGCTGAGGCAGGTGGATCACGAGGCCAGGAGTTCGAGACCAACCTGGCCAAGACAGTGAAACCCCATCTCTATTAAAAATACAAAAACAAATTAGCTGGGCCCGGTGGCGGGCTCCTGTAATCCCAGCTACTCGGGAGGCTGAGGCAGTAGAATCACTTGAACCCGGGAGGTGGAGGTTGCAGTGAGCCGAGATTGCGCCACTGCACTCCAGCCTGCACGACAGAGCAACACTCTGTCTCAAAAAAAAAAAAAGGCCGGGCGCAGTGGCTCACTCCTGTAATCCAGCATTTTGGGAGGCCGAGGCGGACGGATCACCTGGTCAGGAGGTGGGGACCAGCCTGACCAACGTGGAGAAACCCCCTCTCTACTAAAAAAAAGTATAAAATTAGCCGGGTGTGGTGGCGCATGCCTGTAATCCCAGCTACTCAGGAGGCTGAGGCAGGAGAATCACTTGAACCCGGGAGGCGGAGGTTGCGGTGAGCCAAGATCGCGCCATTGCACTCCAGCCTGGGCAACAAGAGCAAAACTCCATTTCCAAAAAAATAAATAAATAAAGTAGATTAGTATATTTGTTACAATTAATGAATGAATACTGATACATTATTAACTAAGGTTCATACTTGATTGACATTTCTTTGGTTTTTAGCTATTGCTCTTTTTCTGTACATGGATCCCATTTAGGATTCCACATTATATTTAGTTGTCACATCTCCTTACGCTCCTCTTAAGTGTGACGGGTTTCTCACACTTTACTGTTTTTGATGACTGACAGTTTTGAGGAGTTGGTTATATTGTAGGATGCCTTTCTGCTTGAATTTGTCTGATGTTTTTCTCTGTATTAGCCTGAGGTTATGGGTTTTTAGGAGGAGGATCACAGAGGTGAAGTACCATTGTATTGTATAATATTAAGGGCACATACCGAAAACATGATTTATGAGTATTGATGCTGACCTTGGTCATCTGGTTGAAGTAGTGTTTTTCTGGTCTCTCCACTGTAAAGATATTCCTCTTGATTTCCTAAATTATACTGAATGAGGGCTGGGCGCAGTGGCTCACGCCTGTAATCCCAGCACTTTGGGAGGCCGAGGCAGGCGGATCACGAGATCAGGAGTTCAAGACCAGACTGACAACATGGTGAAACCCTATCTCTACTAAAAGTACAAAAATTAGCCGGACATAGTGGCATACGCCTGTAATCCCAGCTACTCAGGAGGCTGAGGCAGGAGAATCACTTGCACCCGGGAGGCAGAGGTTGCAGTGAGCTGAGATTGTGCCACTGCACTCCAGCCTGGGTGACAAAGCAAGACTCTGTCACAAAAACAAAAAAAAACGTGTATATATATATATATATTCCCTATACACAGTCCACATGTAAGAAGTGGGAAGTTATAGCCGGTGCAGTGACTCACGCCTTAATCCTAGCACTTTGGGAGGCCAAGGCGGGTGGATCACCTGAGGTCGGGAGTTCGAGACCAGCCTGACCAACATGGAGAAACCCCATCTCTACTAAAAATACAAAATTAGCCAGGTGTAGTGGCACATGCCTGTAATCCCAGCTACTTGGGAGGCTGAGGCAGGAGAATCGCTTGAACTCGGGAGGAGGAGGTTGCAGTTAGCCGAGATCGCGCCATTGTACTCCAGCCTGGACAATAAGAGCGAAACTCCGTCTCAAAAAAAAAAAAAAAAAAAGTGGGGAGTTATGCTGCCCTTCTCCCTTTTAGGATGGTGTGTCTACATATTTTATTTGGAATTCTACATGAGAGATTTGTCTTTTCTCCTCCATTTAAATAAGTTCAGTCATTTATTTATATCACTATGGACTCACAGACGTTTATCTTATACTTTGGGGTTATAATCTAATACGCTTTACTTACTTTGTTCCTCAAATTGTTTCAGCTTTGACCATTGGGAGCTTTTTCAGTTGGCTCTTATTTCCCTTTGACATAACCTCATCAATATGTTTATTTTTTTCTTTTTTTCTGCTTTTTGTTTGTTTTTTGTTTGTTTGAGACAGAATCTCTACTCTGCCACCCAGGCTGGAGTACAGTGGCACAGTTACGAGTCACTGCAGCATCAACCTGCCCGGCTCAAGCGACCCTTCCCAGTAGCTGTGACCACAGGTGCATGCCACCATACCTGGCTAATTTTTGTATTTTTTGTAAAGATGGGGTTTTGCCCTGTTGTCCAGACTGGTCTCAAACTCCTAGGGCTCAAGTGATCTGCCCACTCCAGCCTCTCAGAGTGCTGGGATTATAGGAATGAGCCACTGCACCCAGCTAACCCCATCAATATGTGAGTGTGGTTGTTGTTTTGAGCACTTCCTTACTTTTTGACACCTCAAGATGCTCTAGACTCATCCTGTGTGTTTCCTACCCTGTCCTAGAATCAGCTAGTAGTCCAGGGAGCCCTGGTTCCTTTTATTGGAAAATTGTATTAGAAACCAAGATCTGGGTGCTAAGTGTGCTCATTGCTGCTGGGATATCATTTCTCTTAAGTTTTCTTTTCATCTGGTGATTTTATTCCCCCATCCTAGCTGCCTCTGACTGGTTCCTCAGGATTGACAATAAGAGACAGAGTGAAAATTCAGTAGAAGGAGAAACTTTGGATTCATCAGTGTTCATCACAGTGGAATATACTGTCTTGGGGGAGAATGGATACCATCTCTTTAGGGAAATGCCACCAAAAGCTGAATAACAATTCACAAAGTAGGGTCAGGGGTGGTGACTCACACCTGTAATCCCAGCACTTTGGGAAGCCCAAGCAGGTGGATCACTTGTGTCCAGGAGTTCGAGACCAGCCTGGGTGACATGGCGAAACCCCGACTCTACAAAAAATACAAAAATTAGCCAGGCTTGGTGGCACATGCCTGTAGTTCCAGCTACTCAGGAGGCTGAGGCAGGAGGATCACTTGAACCTTGAAGGCGTAGGTTACAGCGAGCCAAGATTGCACCACTGCATTCCAGCCGGGGCAACAGAGTGAGACTCTGTCTCAAAAAAAAAAAAAAAAAAAAGACACACATACACCAAACAACAACAAAACCATTTACAGAGTGAAGTCCTGCACTGGGAGGGATTTAGACTAGATGACCTCTAAGGGTCCTCCGAATTCTAAGATTCTGTGCTTCCAAGTGGTGTTTAAAAAGATCAATCTGGCCTCTCGTGGTGGCTCATGCCTGTAATCCCAGCAATTTGGGAGGCCGAGACATTTGGATCACTTGACATAATGAAATTCCATCTCTTAAAAACAAACAAATAAACAAACAAAAAAACAAAACAAAGAGCCAGGTATGGTGGCACACACCTGTAGCTCCAGCTACTTGGGAGGCTAAGGCAGGAGGATCACCTGAGCCCAGGAGGTTGGGGCTACAGTGAGCCATGATCACACCACTGCACTCCAGCCTGGGTGACATAAAGAGACCTTGTCTAAAATAAAATATAAAATAAAATAAAATAAAATTTGATTGTAATGTCTCTTTTCCCCTGGTTGACAATGAAATTGATGACTCATCCCTGTGCTCCCACAGTGTCTGACACTATCTTTTTCATGGTAGATGATTAATAAATGTTTCGCTGAATGCATTTCTTTGGATTGAATTGGGGCCTGGTCAGGTTTGGAAGGCCAGAGATAGAAAGAATTCAAAGGTTATACATATAAATGCAGTTAGTGACTGGGCATAGTGGCTCATGCCTGTAATCCCAGCACTTTGGGAGGCTGAGGCAGGAGGATCACTTGAGCCCAGGGGTTCGAGGCTAGAGTGAGCTGTGATTACACCATTGCACTCAAGCCTGGGTGACAGAGTATCTCTAAAAATAAAAATAAATAAATGCAGATAGGAATAAACATCAAATTGTCTTAGGGATGTAGAGTTTTGTCCGAGGGTCTAAGCACTTTCTCCTTTGTGCTAAACTATATTGTAATTATCTGACCTGTTTGGGGGACCATGTCTCATTCATGTTTATGTTTCCAGAAATTCTCTCTCTGACACTGTGCCTTCTCAGTCAAAATTTGTTGAATGACATTGACTTTTTATGTCCCAGCGATAAAAGATTGAATGTCTTGTACCTCCTTGGCTTCCTGTCCATTCTACTACATTTCTTTTTCTCTTTGTTTTTGTCTTTATCAGGTTTTTTCACTGGATCTCTGAACACCCAGGCCCCCTCCACCATGGCCAGCCGGGGTGGGGGCCGGGGTCGTGGCCGGGGCCAGTTGACCTTCAACATGGAGGCCGTGGGCATTGGGAAAGGGGATACTTTGCCCCCACCCACCCTGCAGCCTTCTCCACTCTTCCCTGTGAGTCTCTCCACTTCCTTCCCAGACTCTCATGTGCCCCTGGCTGACTGTACATGATTCTGAATTCCTCCTGGACCATCATAAAACCATCCTCACTGGCCCTCTCTGTCTCTATACTCCCAATGCACAAGGGATGTTTTGCAGTCAAAGAAGTGTCCACCTTTATTTCTCCCCAGCTTTCAAAATGATATGTTACTCTCCCCATTCTCTTTCAGCCCTCTGCTCAGGGGAATATTAGATTAAATTGGGAGGAGGGGTCTTCCTAAATTTGTACTAGCATTTTCTCCCTGAACAGACCACTGCCCCTGCCTCTTTAGCCTTTGGAGTTCCGCCCAGTACCTTTGCCTTCAGGAGAGGAAGGGGAATATGTCCTGGCACTGAAGCAGGAGCTACGAGGAGCCATGAGGCAGCTCCCCTACTTCATCCGGCCAGCTGTCCCCAAGAGAGGTCAGTTGGAATGCTAGCATCATATTCTGAGTGCCTTCCGTGGGGAGTGCCCTGTGCTCAGCACCACTGGGGGCTGGAGAGGCACAGGAAGCATACTGTCTAACTGGGGAGATCATAATAGTTACTCCTGCATCTGAAATGCATTATAGTATTCATGGTTTGTTTTGAGTCTCATGATAGTTTTGGGACAGCGGGAGGTTAAATATTAAAATCCCATTTCTTGTGTGTAGGTGGGGGGATGTATTTTCTAAAAATTTATATATTTTTTATTTTTTTGTAAAATAGAGATGGGGTGTTCTTATGTTGCCCAGGCTGGTCTTGAACTTCTGGGCTCAAGAGATTCTTCCGCCTTGGCCTCCCAAAGTGCTGGGATTACAGGCATGAGCCACCGTGCCCAGCAAAAATTTTAACAATCTGGATATTAAAAGCACCAACCAACAACAGAATACTGAAATCCTGGTTTCTTATTCCCTAGCATACTTTCCACTGCATCACACTATTTCTTAATACAGCCATGCCTTTGAACTAAGGGACAGAAAAAAAAAAAAAAAGTCATCATGGCTGGGTGCGGTGGCTCACGCCTGTAATGGCCAGCACTTTGGAAGGCTGACATGGGTGGATCACTTGAGGCCAGGAGTTTGAGGCCAGCCTAACCAGTATGGCGAAACCCTGTCTCTACTAAAAATATAAAAATTAGCCAGGCACAGTGGTGTGAGCCTGTGGTCTCAGCTACTCAGGAGGCTGAGGCACGAGAATTGCTTGAACCTGGGAGGTGGAGGTTGCAGTGAGCTGAGATCTCGCCACTGTACTCTAGCCTGGATGACACAACAAGGCTCTGCCTCAAAAAAAACAAAAACAAAAACAAAACAAAACAAAAAAACACTGGCCAGGTGTGGTGGCTCACACCTATAATCCCAGCACTTTGGGAGGCTGAGGTGGGCAGATCACGAGGTCAGGAGTTCGAGACCATCTTGGCCAACATAGTGAAATCCTGTCTGTACAAAAAAAAAAAAATACAAAAAATTAGCCAGGCCTGGTGGCAGGTGCCTGTAATCCCAGCTACTTGGGAAGCTGAGGCAAGGAGAATTGCTTGAATCTGGGAAGTGGAGGTTTAAGTGGACCGAGATTGCGCCACCGCACTCCAACCCTGGGCGACAGTGTGAGACTCCATCTGAAAAAAAAAAAAAAAATCATAATTTTAGGTGGAAAAGAAACAGGTTAGAAGAGTGATAAGGGGCCGGGCGCCGTGGCTCACGCCTGTAATCCCAGCACTTTGGGAGGGCGAGTTGGGTGGATCACGAGGTCAGGAGATTGAGACCATCCTGGCCAACATGGTGAAACCCTGTCTCTACTAAAAATACAAAAATTAGCTGGGTGTGGTGATGTGCGCCTGTAGTCCCAGCTACTCAGGAGGCTGAAGCAGGAGAATCACTTGAACCTGGGAGGTGGAGGTTGCAGTAAGCTGAGATTGCACCACTGCACTCCAGCCTGAGCGACAGAGCAGGACTCTGTCTCAAAAAAAAAAAAAAAGAAAAAAAAAAGAGATAAGGTCCTCACTGAAGCTGACCCCCTGGGCTCTGAGTTTGGGGTAAGGAAACAGATAATTCCTGAGTATTGAGAGGGCTGGACTCTCAGGAACAGTCCTGTTCTGGGTCTCAAGGGATAAAACTTTGACTCTTCCACCCCTCAGATGTGGAGCGTTATTCAGACAAATACCAGATGTCAGGTCCGATTGACAATGCCATCGATTGGAACCCTGGTAGGTGATGGGCTCGTTCATTGACTGCCTTTCTTTCAAATGCATGAGATGCTTCAAGCCATTTCCGCCACGCCCATGTCCCCACCCCATTCCCTGATCCAGCATCTGCAAGCTAGAGCCTTAGTTATGTTCCAAAACACTCTCAGATTTTACCTGGAAAAGCTATTAAATAGTTCCCACTACTCAGGAGATATCTAAGCCACAGTTTTGTTCTGAACAACTTTGACCCAGCCCCTTCCTTCCTCTCCTTTAAAACCCTCAATCCCCCTTTAAAACCAGTCATTATTCACTGGAGAGCCCAGGCAGGGTCCTATTGGCATTTACATTCCCACTATTCCCAGATTGGCGGCGTCTACCCCGGGAGCTAAAGATCCGAGTGCGGAAGCTACAGAAGGAACGTAAGTGTATCTGGAAAAAGGAGGGAGAAGAGAGGTTTCCTTCATCAGCCTGAGGACCAAGGCTGCTGCTGGTCTCACTTTCCATCCCAGTTCCTATACCCAATCTAGCAAGTGTTGTTGCTAGATGTCATAGTGGCCACATGAGGGCAGCAGAGTGACATGTTCTTTGCATGAGGATGGGCTCTAAAGCTGGCAAAATTTGCTCTCTGATGGTTCACCTTTTGATCCCCCCACCAGGGATTACAATTCTGCTCCCCAAGAGGCCCCCTAAGACCACAGAAGATAAGGAGGAAACAATACAGAAACTAGAGGTGAGGAGGAAGTGTGCATAGAGACCTTCTGAGCCCTGGATCCATTCCCTCTCTCTTGACCCATGTGTGCCTCAATTTTTCCCTTCTGTGAACTGAACCTGAATTTCTATTCCTATTCATCCCCACATGAGACCCTGGAGAAGAAGGAAGAAGAAGTAACTTCAGAGGAGGATGAGGAGAAGGAAGAAGAAGAAGAGAAGGAAGAGGAGGAAGAAGAAGAGTATGATGAAGAAGAACATGAAGAGGTGAAGGGGACTCCTTCCACCTTAGTCCCCCTCCCTTTACCCCAGAAACTCTGGGGATCTCAACTCTTTATACTAGGGATGCTTTCCTCAGAGGGTTGGCATGCCAACAGAGATAGTGCCCCCCAGGGTAGGGGCTTCCCTCTACTCCCTCTGCCCACTTCTCCAAACTACAGCTGGAAGAGCTGTCTCAGGCCTGGAATGGTGTGACTGGGAGGAGAGGGGTCTGGTACACAGGAAGGAAGGTGAATGCCAAATTGACTTTTACTTTTTTTTTTTCCATTTCAGGAAACTGATTACATCATGTCATATTTTGACAATGGAGAGGACTTTGGGGGTGACAGTGATGACAATATGGACGAGGCTATATACTGAAGAAGGTCTCTGGACCCTTGTGTCTTTCTTGAGGCTACAGAGAGTAACTGTCCCTGTTATTTGTTTTTTTGGACAAGCAAATCATTTGGTCAGAGTTCACATAACCTCTCTGGTCCCTGGAGATGGGAATGGAGGATGATGACAGTTTATTTTCTACGCTTCCCCTCCTTCCACGTTTGTATCACCTCTGCTATCTTGGAGAAAGTGCAAAGGACAAATATCTCAATTGTATGAAGGGAGAAAGGAGAATTGAAAGAAGAACTGGGGTTGTTAGAGCTGAGATAACTGTACACGTACCCCTGCCCAATTTGTATAGCTCTTTGTGGAGATAATTAAGGATGGGAGCAGTTTGAAGGAGTAAGCCTGGTTTTATACTTTTAAATAAAGTGTTTTTATCTGTCTCTGTTGTGGGTGAGGCCTGGTGATAGAGGGCTGGAGGAATGAAGGAAATTATTAACTAAGCAGGGTGCTGTGATACACTGGAGGGTTACAGCCCGCTTGTCCTTTGTCCCTTCCCTTCTACCCCCATGGTGGGATACATATTCACAATCTAGCCCCGCCAAGGAATATTCAAGGCCTCATCTGTAGGGCAATGCAGAGTAAGTTGTAGAGAAGAACAGTCTGTGCCCCCTGCAGACCAGCTGACTTCTGAGCCTCTGGTCATCAGGCCACAAGGACATGATTGTGTCTGTTCACACATGTTCACAAGGACACAGACCCTGTCTTTCCCACACTTGACCTTGGTCTTGTCCTTATTTACAAAAAATGGTTACAGTAATTTTTGTGGGAAAAGTCAAGAAAACCAGGTATGAGGAGGGAGGAGGAGCTGACTTATCCACCATACTCCCTCCTCTTCCAGACCCTGGAGATGCCACTTTGAAAGGTATATCTGTGCAGAGTGAGCCCCCCTAAATATCCTATTCTCCAGTTACAGAAACCAGTGTGTGACTGAGTTGCAGTTTCTCTTTTGGTTCTTCCCTTTGTGGAATTTAGTTAGCCTTTCTCACTCCCTTTCTTTGGGGGAAGGGAGGTAGGCGGTGTTATTTTACAGGAAGTAAAGAGGGTGGGGAGGAAGGGAGTGACTTAGGGACACTCACAGATCTGAGAGATGCTTTCTCGCCCACAGAGCTCTCCCTTGGGTGAGGTCACTTTCCGAGGCTCTGATTGGCTTCTGAGGAAGCCTTAGATGAGCTGATTGGTTCCAGCCACTTGACATGCAACAGTCACGGGCAAGCTGCGTGTCCAGAATAGGAACTGAATAAGGAGGCATGCTATCATAGCAACCCTACTGAGCATTTGAAAGCCGTAAGATGGGATATAGAAGAACCTTCAAAACATTCCCCAACTGCATTCAAGCAGGCCGACTGAATTCCCTACAGCATCAAGTGATGGAGACTGGCAATCTAACGTTGAATATGTTTGACCCCATTGTAAAGAATGAAGAAAGAGTGTGACTCCATTGAGAGAAAGCACCTTAAAAGCCTAGTTTGGGTGTGTTAGTTAGTGTTTACATAGAAGCAGTGGCAGGCGCCATGGCTCAAACTTGTAATCCCAGAAGTTTGGAAGACTGAGGCAGGAGAATTGCTTGAAGCCAGGAGTTTGAGACCAGTCTAGGCAACAAAGCGAGTCCCTGTCTCTACAACAAAAATATTTAAAAACTTTCAAATAGCTGAGCGTGGTGGCACTCCCTAGTAGTCCCAGCTACTAGGGAGGCTGAGGCAGGAGGATCCCTTGAGCCCTGTAGTTTGAGGCTGTGGTGAGCTATATGATTGCACCACTGTGCTGCAGCCTGGGCAACAAAGCAAGAACCCGTCTCGAAGAAAAGAAAAGTAGAAGCAGCGAAGGAAACAGGAATAGAAGCAGAACGTTCCAGAGTCATTGAGCAATTATGATGATTGACGTGTTTCTTTTTTAGTCCTCGTGAGGTGTTGTGCTGAGTGGCAGGAAGGAGATAGGGGACCCGTAACTGGGATTTCCCATAGCTGCACTTCAGCCTGTGATTATAACTAGGGAGAGATCAGCAAAAACAAAAGTAAAAGCTATTGAAAATTTTCCTTTTGCATTGTTCCCTACATACACACACCAAGTCCTAACCTGGTCAATTATGTGTCTATGTTGGGAGCACAGCCACCCCATAAAGCCCACCAAATGTCAACCTGGGAACTTAAAAGAGTAGGAACAAAGAAGATTCTGGAAAAGCAGCACACATCCTATACTCACACATCCTTTTCCCATGAAACTGGGGAAATGAGGACAAAGGTTGGAGTGACCACTTGAGATCAGTTGTATTACTTCAAAGTGTCAGAAAGATCAGACTATTCTTGGACTCTGCCCTGTCTGCAGGTGACCTTGCTGGACAAAGCCAGGGACACAGAACCCAGCAGCTTTCCCAGATTCTGAAGTGGTTCCAAGAATGAGCTAGACTTGTTTCCACTGACCTTTCCCCTACTTTCCATAGGTACTATCAGGCAGGCCCGAAGCCCAAGGCCTAGTAAACAGGGTCATGGCTCCTATTCATTTTGGAGGAACCCCTGAGAGGTTAGGAGTTGAGGCCATGCTTGCAAACGTTTTTTTTGTTTTGTTTTGTTTTGTTTTTTGAAATGGAGTCTCACTCTGTTGCCCAGGCTGGAGTGCAGCGGCACAGTCTCAGCTCACTGCAACCTCCACCTCCTGGATTCAAGTGATTCTGCTGCCCCAGCCTCCTGAGTAGCTGGGATTACAGGCGCATGCCACCATGCCCGGCTAATTTTTGTATTTTTAGTAAAGACGGAGTTTCACCACGTTGGTCAGGCTGGTCTCGAACTCCTGACCTTGTGATCCACCTGCCTTGGCCTCCCAAAGTGCTGGGATTACAGGCATGAGCCACCATGCCCGGCCCCTGCTTGCAAACATTTACAGAGGACCTACACAGAGCTGCTCAGCCCAGTACTACTCGCCCGATAGGGCTTATGTTGAACAGATTGCTGCCATGTCCACCGTCTGGGCTGCACTGGCCCCAGGCAGGGTAGGTTCTCTGTCAAGAATCCTGTCCTGGGCATGGTGGCTCCCACCTGTAATCCCACCACTTTGGGAGGCTGAGGTGGGAGGTTGCTTGAGGCGAGGAGCTCAAGACCAGCTTGGGGCAACTTAGTCTTCCCTAAGTCTGCCCCTACAAAGAAAAAAAAAAAGGAAAGAATCCTATTTTTCTCTATGCTATGTTCCATCCCTAGCCTCATGATTTCCTCCCATCTCAGGTGGGCAGTTTAAGAGGGGTCTGCAAACAGACTCAGTGACTCAAGTGGTTTGAGGGAGGCTAAATGGCAGACCTGAAAGCAACATGTAGTTTAGATTGGGAGTGGAGACCAAAGAAAATTGGAGGGTCAGATGAATAAGGTAATTGGGCACCTATAATTTGGTAAGGAAAAGACAGCTCTTTTCCTCAATTCATTTTTTTTAAGAGACAGGGTTTCACACTATTTTATGGTCCTAGTTTCACCACTCCATAGCTTTGTGCCCTTCAGAAAGTCATGTATGTCTCCAAGCCTCAGTATTCCTCATGTGTGAAATATAAATTTGGACTAGATGTGTCCAATGGGAGCCCTTCTAGCTCTTCCAGAGTAGGGCTTATGCTGATCCATCTGTAAGAATTCAAATGGGCCTGAGAACAAAGGCAGGATGTGCCTAGCTTTGGCTGAACATATTCCATTCGCTGGATTTCCCCACTTTATTTTCAGCCTAGGCAGACTAAAGATACCTCAGGCATCTGGCCAGTCGTTTCCAAGAACCTGCTTCAGCTCGGGTAGCAAGAAGATCAGCAATTCCATCAACAAGCAAGAAAAGGACACCACTTACAGCAGAGTTCAAGGTCACAATCGGCAAGCCAGGACTCAAATCAAACAGGCCACCAGTAGATTTCTGACTGAAGAAGGGGCTGGTGGGCAGGTCCTCTTCATCTCCCCTCATATGTCATGTCCAGCCAGAGGATGGGTAAGAGAAACGAGCTCAATGAAAATAGCTCCACTAACTAATCTGGCCAAACCAGTAGTGACCTCTTCTCCACTGACCTTTCCCCTTCTGGGGCTCCCGTTTCCTCAAGGTCATTTGGGACCACAAAACTGGAAATAAGTTCTAGTTTCCTGCTATCACCTCAGAAAGGCCTTTGGCTCATCCCTAACAGACTTTAATTTGCCTCTTTGTATCTAGGGAAGAAGGGAGGTCCCCCTCATAACCTTAATGGGGGAGTCAGTGGGAAGACACTGATCCAACTTAACTGCAGGATCTTAATGGCTAGGTGCTCTCACCTTGGGAATCCAAGATGTTGGGGAAGGAGTCCAGAGATTCCTCAGGCCTGATCCCAACAAATGCAGGAAGGGGCTAGGTCCCCATGACCTCAGAGTCTGAGATTATTCTCCAGTCTCAAACTTCTCCTCCTCCCAGGATCCTCAGCTTTGGACTGTGCTCCCAGCCCTTTCCTGAATAGTTCTCATCCTTGTGATTCCTCATTGATCTTGGTTTACAGTAGAGAAAGGGGGAAAATATCCAAATCCTGTCTCTGATATTCTTTGGTACACTCAGGGCAGTGTTGATAATATTAGGTTAGGAGGGAGGGGGTTAGACCTATTTTTGTCTTACCAAAAGGGGGAGGTAGAAGAAACTCACCTAAGTTAGGGATGCGGATTTGGGGTATTTCCTGTCTTGGAGAGAATAGGTAGAGTACCATTTGGACAGGGAAAGAAGCCCTGGTACTCATCCTCCTTAGGCTCTGGTGTATTCAGAGATACAGCCATTTTGGAGAAGAAATTCCCTCTTCAAAGGAGGACAATTTAATGCTTGTTCTTCATTTTTCTTAGGCAGAGTGATAAGAGGAAGTGACACAAAATGGGCTCAGTGGGAGAAAGGGCAAATGCTGATCAGCCCTTTTCTAAGTCTTCCATTTCCTTTCCAAGCCTCTTTCCTGGCACCTAGACACTCTTTCTCATCTGACCATACTTGGCTGCTCTGGATCCCTCACCTCTCCCTTACTTGGCTTGGCTCCTGTTTTTGGGTCTTGCTTTCTACCCTGAGCCGCCACACTAACACCTGTCCAGAGATATCAGGGATGTTTATACACTTCTCAGTGGCTGAACTGGGCCAGGCCTGGAGGGTTGGCTGAGGACCAGACAGAGAGCTTATTACTCAGACTCATTCTTGTTGTCTTTCAAATTATTTTCCTCTCTTTGACTCTTTCTCCGTGTCTCTCTTTACCTCATGCCTTTATACGGTGCTGTTTAAATTGGATTATTCCTGGGGTGATATGGTGAGGACTATTTGGAGCCACAGAATACACATGGCACATCTTCCAGAGTGTTAATTTTACTTTTAAGATTTGGTGGGGGAAGATAAATCATTTTTATGCTAAAACCAACACAAATATATTATGCAG